CAATAATAAATATATAACAACTACTAATAATATAATATACTATGCTATGCTAAAAATCTACTTTGTAACAATATCAAACCAGATTAATAGTAAAAGAAAATATAACTCATTCTAATAGGTTTGTCTTGAGGATAAAAATAGTTTAAGAATTATAATCCTATAGTTAAAAATGAATAGATCTAGGTCTGTGTCCTAGTAAAATTAATATTAGAATTAGATTAGAGAGTTTAAATAAAACATCTAAGCAGAGGTGTTAGGTATGACAACTGGTAAGGAACTTTTAGGCAGACTTTTTAAATAGGTAATATAAAAAAGTTATACATATAACCAGTTGTACACTTGTTTGATAGTTTAATATAAATATATCTGTATAAAACATATACCTAACATAAGTATTAATAAAAAGCTAGAACTAAAAAATCACCTTAATATTAAAAAAAAAATAATAATAATGAATTCACAAGTAGGTTTTAGATATAACAATTAGTATAAAACTTTCAAACAGATTATTTAAATTAGATAATAACTAAAGTTGTATAAGTAACTTCTTTTTATAGTTCTTGTAGTTGTTGTATATAACAACTATTAGCTAAAACATATTATTAATAAAATTCTGGATTACATATACTCATTTTAATATCAAAAATAAAATAAAAAATAAAAAAATCAACTTTATAAATAATCATTTTTTTTTATTTAAAATTTTAAAAACAACTATTGATTTGTATTACAAGTAATTATCATCTGTATTGTTTAAAAACAAAACTAAAAAACAAAAATTAGATAAATTAAATAAAGGGAATTACTATTGCTACCCTCTATTTTGGCATTAGCAAAAATAAAAGGTGGCAATAACAATACCCTAAATAAAATGTTTAGAATCTTTAAAAATCTTGTATAATTTAAATTTTAGACTATTATATTTAACTTTTGCATTGATCTTAAACTGCACTCTAATTCCAAATTTTAGCAAAACCTATATTTTAAAATATAAAATAATCTATATATTTTCAGTTTTTAATTTTGAAATATAAACTATTTTGTAAATAATTTTATTTTACATCTGATAACGCAATCTGATTGGCTTTCTATATTACCATGTACTGTACATACACGATGTGTACGATGTGTACGAATAGAAATTTTCTAAATATATTTTTTAAATCATATAATAATTGTTAAAATTTAGCTACTATATAATAAAAACTTTAATTTATAAGCTACAAAATTTAGCAAAATTAACTGCAACTTTAATATTTTTTTATTAATGTTATACGTATAAAATTCTGCAATAGTATATATTTTATTATACAGCATACGTATCAGTATATATATATACCAAAAACATACAGTATATACTGTAAGTATTAAATCCATTTTACTTTAATATATTGTATACAATGGAAATGTTAATTGTACACAGTAAAAAAATCGAATTTAAAAGGTAAATACAATGAAGAAATGAAGGTAATAATGGAGATAAAGATTTAAATTTGTACATAGTGAAATTCGAGAATACATCAAAAGATACAAATTTATAAGATTATGCAGTACGCAAAGGTTTACTCAGATCAAATAAAACTTCCAATTGAAATTCATCACACTAACGCACAGACAGCAACTACTCAATAAACGATTTTTTTCTAGTTAAAGAGGATATATAAGGGTAAGTGCAAAGATTATAGCGAAATATAAAAGAAGTTAGATGGAGGACCAATAAGTAAAACAGACAATAGATGACAATAGATCATGAGGGCGACTTTCGATAAGACCATATTTGTATAAATTACAAATTTTAGACAAATACGTGCATATTGAATGAATCTAACACTAAAAAATCGAATTAATTATTATCAGTTAACGTTATGGGACATTATCATGCAAGTTAAAAGATCGAAATCCTCGTGGAATTATGTAAGATTATATAGTTCTTTGAAGTTATGCCAAAACACTCATACGAATAACGCATAGTTCTATATCAACACACATCTTGGTCACACATCTTTTAAGCCATAATATGTAAAAACGGAAATCATTTATCGTTATTGTTAATTAATTGTTAATCTAAAACATATACAAAAGCAATATAGTAGCATTACTTATACAGATCAAACACCAACCAAACCAATGGACCGCAGTGAGCAAGCTTTTTGATTTTCCAGAAAAGGGAAATAAGATATCATCAGCTGATAACTTTAAAGGCGTGTTACTTTACCAGTTTAACTTTCACGAGAGGGATACATATCAACGGAGTATTGACACCGAGTAAAGTTAAAAAAAAAAATTCAAATCGTTATCGCATCAGGAATGTATGTAAACATTCAAGAACATATCAGGTTTCTATCTTTAAAAAGTATTCGCTGAATTGAATACAGATTTAAAGTCATTTATATAAATCTTTTTATGACAGGACACGTAACACATTTTAATTAATAAAAATGGATTGGCGCCGATTCCTATATTCATTGTGTGATAATACATAAACGCATTTGTTGTCAAAAAAGGGTCACTGCGTTCTTAATGTAAGATTTAAGATGCTTGGTTTGTACTTATTAACCCATCCTGTGGCATATCCCTTTTAATTTTATTTATTTATTATTATTATTATTCGTTATTCGTTCGTAGATATGTATCTCCCGGATTTCATCGTGAGACTGAACTTATGTCTATGCATGCTTTAATTATTGTTTTTAAATTGTCGTCATAAGTTATACTTTAAACTATTATTTCTGTCAATTATGCGATTTGTATATAATTTAATGTGATTTAATGTTAGAAAACAATGAATATTTCGAGCATTATAAAATGCTGAAACTTTGTCACCTATTACCTGAATTAAATCAATTAATTGAATTAACTCATTGAATTAACTCATTGAAATTAACTCATTGAAATTGAATTAATAAAGATCATATGATATCATGTATTAAATATAATGAACCATCACGTGACTCACACCGAATGCCTTATTCGTCGTAAATTCTATATTTAAAACTAAAGGCTGATGAACATTCTAAAACCCGAAGTCGATTAACCTATTTAGCTGTCTTTACACCCATATCCGGCGCTTATTTACAAACTATCCAGTTTGCGTTCCCACAGCTGTAAACTTAAATTTTTTTTTCATTATTGCGTTTTGCCGCCTTTTGACTCAGATTGTTACAAACACAATGTACATCCTAAGCTCGTTATTATGCTGAATAAAGTGATAAATACTTGGTGGTTTGTTAGCTCTTTAACAATATTTTTTGTTTGATAATATTGATAATATTAAACTTGTTTGGATATCCGCATGATACAAAGGTAATCGGATTCCTATTATTTTGTTTTTTTTTAAAAAAAAAAAAAAATTATTTTTTATATCAATCGATAATTTCTTTGTTAACTAAACATTCTCTTTTTTCTTTTTCACCTCTTATCAACTCAATCATATTATTCAGCTTTTCCCGCCTGCCGTCCATTCCTAATTCTCTAAATATCGTTTGAAATAAAATCTATTATTATTTTTCATACCTTTTTTGTTTTTTTTTATCTCATGTCTTCCCATCGTAACCTCCGCGGCGCAGCTGCCGCTTCCCTTTTGGACTTTGACTCAAATATACCCTATCATACTTTCTTACGAAACTTGAAATTGTTACGTACTGGTCAAATTATAGTAGATTTTGAAATAATATTAGAAAAGAATAGGGTCATATTTCATGGTCCTCCAACTTCTAATAAATCACGGACGGTGAGGGGGAAAGTTAAGTTAGAAGTTGCCGGAAAGCTAAACGTGAAGGTTAATATCACTCAAGATTTATGGATGTTACCGCAATATGTCTATACTCGCATAAACTCAATCATTTCAATCACTTCCCTCTTTTTTTTTTTATTCTACTGTAGGAGATCATGTTGACGCTGACCGGTGACTTTAGATTTTGCAAAATAAATAATGTTTCTACTGTAAATGATGCCACTATTCCACGTCAAGGGACTGTATTTTCAACGTGCATATTACTGGCAAATAAACGAACTCTTTATCCAGGTCTTCATGAATTCTTTTTCGAATTCCTCATTCCAGGGTGAGTTTATATTTCTCCTAATATTATTATTTTATTTATTTGATTTTATAAATTTAAGATCATTTAATATATATTAATTAAAATTTTTTTGTTAATTTTTAATTAAAACATTTAAAACATTGTTCGTTCATCAGTGATTTGCCTGAATCAATTAGTGCTGATCACGTGCTATGCGAGTATTTCTTGAAGGCCGATCTTATTCCACGCGATACCGACGAATTAAATTCTCTTAATAAAGTTGTAGATATCGTAGATATCTTTGTGGAACGTGCTATGTTACTGAATGATGGATATATCTCTGATGGTCTTGAGTCTACAAGATATATTGGTTCAAAAAAAAATGTGTACGTGTTTATCTTGTTATAATTTCGAATATTTTTCGAATATTTTATATATATATATATATATATATATATACCTATAAATGAGTATAAAATTATTATAAATGCTTAAATATTAACTCTATATCATTTTATTTTTATTAGTCTTGATTTTGAATTCATAGTACCAAAGATCATACGTCTTAACTCTGATGCTCTTAGGTTCTATTCTCGGTGGGATGGTCTGCGTGTTGCTAACGTTACTTTCAGCTTTGTTCAAAGCGAATATCTGAAAGCTTCACTTCCTGAAACTGATGTAGAAGATTCTAGTCCTCCAACTGTAATTGATTCAGCTACAAGAATTATCTCTGGTCCTTTCCGCTTTGATTTACCGCGAAATGAACGTTTAAAATTACAATGTAGACCAATGGTTTTCCAGCTTCCCATAACCGAGCCTCTTGTACATGATTATGTTTTATTTGGTATTGAAATTCGTCATCGTTTGGTTATTTCTATTCAGATAGCAAATCGACGTAAAGATGTTATTCGTTTCGAGGTCCCTATCACTGTTGAATCTATAGTTCCAAATTTGGAATCATTTCCGAGTCCTTGCAATGTTTGTCAAACTCCTCAATCGGCCTTACTTCATTTTGCAAACAAGATTTATCATGGTCAAATGTTAAACATTAATAAGGATCTCTCTGTTAAAATTCCTAAAAATGATTCTTTAAAGAAACCATACGATCAACTTCCGCCTCAAGATATTAAAAATGACGAAGAAAAGTTACAGCGGATCGTTCCCTCAAGGTCTAGCAGTATTCAATATATCAACAGAAATTCTACTATTAATAATAGTAGTAATAATAGTAGCATTCATGATGATCATCACGTTAACTTTAAAAGTTCCATTAGTACTATTATTGAGAGTGATGATGGTGATGATGATGATGAAACTGATAAGATCAGTTCGGAAAAAACTGGTACGAGTGCCACTACGGCTACGTACATCAACTCTACTGAAAATGCTCAAGCTTTTCCACAAAGAGCTTTACCAAAACCAGTATTTGCTACAGCTCCTGCAAATATTGTTGCTGATAAACTTGCAAAATTACAATATATTTTGCAACAAAGACGAAGTCGTCGAAGATCTATGTGTGCTAAAAATCCAGTAAAAAGTCGTTCTTCATCGTCCGCGTCTACTGTTAAATTTGATAAGTCTGAAATCTTTGATATTATGGCTACGCGTTCGGCTAATCGCCCTAATACCATTTTGGAAACGACAACGTTGACGGCTTAAAAAAAAAATCAAATCCAAAAAATTGAACCAATTGCATATATTTCATATATATTTTTTTCATATATATTTTCGATAATATCATAATCTTCCTCATTCAATTTTCACTCACATTCAAAAACATTGAACATTTAATTGTACAGGTATATGATTATTTGAATTATATGCATATGGTTATCTGTAAATTTTATGAACTATTTTTCTTTCGGGATAAATAGATTAAAAATTATGTGTTAATTAGAAGGGAGGGTATATATGTGTATATACAAATATATTTATTAAATATCTTTCTTTACTATCATTTATATATATTTATTAAAATAGGTTCATTATCACTAAACTAGGTGTTAGAGGGAGATGACACGTTGAAAGGGTTATATCGTTGTTTCCTTATTATAATATTGGGATCCGTTAGAACCTTTTCACATGTTTTTATAACACGTAGAATTTGGTAATGATTAATTCCCTCCATCTTTTTAAAAAAAAAACAAAACTTCTTCGTTAAGATTACTTCATTCACTTTGTAAATATTATAGTATGAACGTTTCGTTTTTGTGTGGTTTTTTTTTCAAAAATAATAGCATCTAGGATCTAAAAATAATAAAGACAAATATTTTTTAAAAAAATGTTAATCTTAGTATATATTCTATGTATCTTTTATGTACTTATGTAACTAAATTAAGAATAATTAGAATATAGAAATTTTCTATACGTAGTATATATTTTTGCTTAGCCGATGTTTTGCGTTTTGCCGAAATATTTACACCCGAAATGTTTATCCCCGAAATGTTTACGTATAAAAAGGGTAGACTGGAAGCCACATTATAAATATTTTCCTTATTTTAGAACCATATTACAGTCAATAATTAAATATATATAGTAATTAATATCTCTATAAAAATGGTTTAGATTTAAAGTTTTCTTTAATAAAAATTCGATGAACTGTACATAAACTTTAAATTTATACCGTATTTCGAGTAATATTTGATTGATAAGTATATATTTGTGGAAACCATCCTTTATTTATTACGTATAAAAAAAAAAAAAACTAAATTATTCTTTGTTAAAATTTTATTATTTAATTCATAATAAATATCTATATTTGTTATAAAAGTTACCCGTCTATCCTTGTATCCTTTACTAATTTCAGAAACAAAATCCGGGTGTTTAAGTATTACCGTATAAGCAGTGTTGTACATTGGACAAAAAAAAAATCGAACTTTAATCTAATAAATGATCATATATTATTGAATATTTTTATTGGATTTTAGTTAAAATTTTAATATAGATGCTTACAATAATTAATTGGGTATTGGATTTTAGTTAAAATTTTAATATAGATGCTTACAATAATTAATTGGGTATTGGATGTTGTAAAACTTTCAATATCCAAGCTCGTTGGACCCATTGGACCGACATCACTGCATATAAAGCCGTATAATCTAAGCTTAATTTAACCTAAAATTCGAAATTACACCCCTGCGCGTTATTTCGCGCTTATACGGTATATATCTATGAACGTATAATATAGTGTTGTTAAATTTTGATTCTTAAAATTTTTCAGTTAAGATTTTGCAATGGCAAAAGTTTCAGTAAAACTATTAATTTTCAGCAGCCCTAGTACAATAGTATCGCTCATAAAAAAATGTAGCTTCTGTCATAATTAAAGCTCAGAATTAATAATGACAACGATGAAGTGCTGTTTTTTAATAGTGAACATAATAATACGTACCGAATAGAGACTTATTATAAGAATGGCCAATTCAGTTTATAAAAAATGAGTTGACAGTATGCAAATATTCAATTATTATATATAAAGAGAAGTATCCTTAAGGTTCTAATATGGATACAGAGCATATAAAATAATCATAATAGAACAGGTGTCACCAGCTAGTAAAATGAAATTTGAGTTTGAGAGCCATTCCTACGTATCATAGTATCGCCCATAAAAAAAATGTAGCTTACGTCATGATTAAAACACAGAATCAAAGCACAAAATCAAAATTTAAAATTTCATAATCGTTCCTTAAGAAAACATAGTAATTTTTATAACGAGCTCTTTTTTTTCTTCCAGAAACGTCAGTTCGTTATAAAAAGAGTTGATCGTATTTGTTTTTTAATTAATTATATGTATATAATAAAACACTTAGCAGCAACTGAAATAAAAATATCTTCAACCATATCGCTGAACTTTAACGTTAAATTTGGACAAATTATTATTATTTTATATGCTCGGCATCCATATTAGAACCTTAAGGATACTTCTAATTGCTTTTATATATAATAATTGGATATTTGTATACTGGCAACTCATTATTATAATAAACAGAATTGGCCACATTTTTTTATGAGATAAAAAGTCTGACGGTATAGACTGTATAAACTTATTAATGATAGTATATAGATAATAGTTTTTGTCAAATTCTTTCTTCATATACAGCATCTATATATTTATACTTCTTGTTTCTGTTTTCTAGTCTAGTATATAATTATAAATTAGAGAACGGCTTATAATATCAGTATTAATCGATAAGGCAAAAAAAAAAAAAAAAACAAGCTTCTAATCATGACTCTAGTTGCTAAAGATAATAAAGGAATATATTATATTTTCTTAACCTCAACTTTTTCTGAGAATACTGTAATTTTATTAAAATAGAAAAATTAACAACTTGTCTATTAACGACGATAAAGAATCAACATTCTTAAATTGTTTAATATTGATTAGCTGAAGTAGAAAAGGTAACAGATATTAAGTTAACTTTAAGAATTATGAGCTTTCACAATTAATATTATGCGCACCAACCCGGTACGTACTTTTCGGATGCCTATGGACAGGACATCTCGGACATTTTTAAATATTGAAATTACTCAAAATTTTATTGATAATATATTTTAATTCTCTAAGTAAAAATGATCAAAACTAAAAAATATATATAATTATATTGTTTTTAAATAAGTTACTTAATTCATAAAGTTTAGATAAGCTTTGGATACCTGGACATTTGGACTTTGAACATGTCAAAAAAAAAAGGCATTGGACATCAAAAATGTACATCCCTGCTTATGGGTGTGCTCCTTCCCAATCTTTCATACGTTTCTCCCAATCTTCATTACATTACTTTTATTTTTAAAACAAATGATATCTAGCAATATGAGAACCAAAAAAAAAAGGGTTAAAATCTATTACGTACATAGATGTTATTGTGAGAATATATTGCGATAATAGCTTAAATTTCAATAGTTATCTATCGCTATATCACTATGTAATTTGATAACCTGACCTTGTGATCGGGACACAAAATTTGAGTCATTGTCCATTATCATTATTTTTTATATATCGGTATTGTATAATAAATAAATAGTCTAACAATTGTCGCAGGAGTACAGTCAGGCTGGCAATTGATTATTGGACTATAGAATAACTATGTACAAATAATTTCTTAAAGATATGTAGTTCTGAAAGATTTTATAATGATAAAAATGACGATAATACTTGTTCATCATGAAAACATTAAAAAATTTTCACAGGATTACATCAAAGTACCGTGGGAGATCTATTACGTACAAATTGTGGTATAAACCAGTATATATCAGAATTTTGCACTAACATTATCGTTGTATCTTTCGATATCCGCAGAAGTTGCATTGCAAAAATTATTTTTTTTATGCATTATACAGGGTCAAATACTGCGTATAGACGTACATACGTACGTACGTACATACGTACGTACGTACTTAAATTTAGAAGTCGTACCTGTACTGAATTTCCTAAATTAAGATGTACAATGGAGAGATACAAAGTTTCGACTGGTCAACTGCGGATATCGTTAGTACGATAATGGTTATATTAAATTTTTAACCGTCTTATTATTTGACGGATGCAATAGTGATTGTTGACCGTCATACATTAGTACGATAATGGTTACATTAAATTTTTAACCGTCATATTATTTGACGGATGCAATAGTGATTGTTGACCGTCATACATTAGTACAATAATAGTTACATTAAATTTTTAACCGTCATATTATTTGACCGTCATACATTTCATTAATTTTTTTACCCCAATTCCCCAACGAATTCCCAACTCTCCCACATAGTCATTAAATAGACATACGAAAATAAATAAATAGGTTCATCTCGAGGCTTTGTTCGCTTAAATCTTCATCTAATTCGCGTTTAAGCATTTTTCTGATAATTTTTGTTCCTAAAAAAAAAAAAAAAAACCAACAAATGTCATCGATCCTAAACGAATGTTGTATCGCTTTTTCCGGTGTCTTCGCGGCTGGTAACCACACAAAACTCTCTGCCACTGTAAAAGAACATGGAGCAACTGTTTCCACAACTATCACCAAAAAAACTACTCACTTGGTAGTCACTGACGAGGACTATCGAAAGAATAGTAGTTCAAAAGTTTTGATTGCAAAGGATAAAAATGATGTATCCATTGTTACTTGGGATTGGGTTCAAGACTCTATTAACGCAAAGTGTAGAAAAAATGAATTAGATTATGTTCTTTCTGAACTTCCTGGAGATGATGTGGATAATGTGGATACGAATGACGCGAATATCAATCCTGGGAAACACAAAATTGATAATACTTCTGAATCTGATGTTGTTATTCCTTCACGTAAAAAAAGGCGTGCTGCCAAACATGGTGATAGTTCAACTATTTGTGATTCAGTTAATTCAGTTACAACTATCACCATTAATGATGATGATGATGATGTTACTCAAGTCATTGAAGAAAAAAAAATGGTCAAGATCATTAAGAAAGGCAAAGCACCTGTCGATGAGTTATTTCAAATGAAGGATTCATATCATGTATTCTCTAATACTCAAGCTACTTGGGATTGTCTTCTCAATCAAACGAATGCAGGCACCAATAATAATAAATTTTTTATTATTCAACTCTTGGAATCGGATTCTGGTGGCAGTTATTATGTTTATTCAAGATGGGGTAGAGTCGGATATGATGGTCAACAAGCCATGTCAGGCCCATGGTCATCTTTAGATATGGCTAAATACGAGTTCGAAAAGAAATTTCGTGATAAAACTAAAAATAAATGGATGGATATTTGCCAAGATAAATCAAGTTTTAAAGCTGTGAAAGGAAAATACACCTTATTAGAACGTGACTATGGAGATGATGAGGTTGATATCTTAACTAAAAATAATGCAGTTGTACCTCCTCCTCCTATCCCTGAATCAAAACTTCATCCAAAGATCCAAAACATAATTAAATTGATTTTTGACGTTAGCTTATGGAATGATACCATGGTTGAGTTAAATTATGACGCGTCTAAATTACCATTGGGTAAACTTTCCAAAAATACTATTACTCGAGGTTATGAGATTCTTAAAAATATTGAGTCTGTATTGACTAAAAATGATGTTGGTGACCTTGTTGAGCTTTCTAACGATTTTTATACAGTCATTCCTCATAATTTTGGTTTTAATAAACCACCAATCATCAATAATATTGCGATTCTTAAAACAAAAATGGCAATGGTAGAAGCATTAGGTGAAATTGAAATTGCTAGTTCATTAATTAAGAATGCAGATATATCCAAGAATCCATTAGACGCAAACTATGATCTACTTGGTTTAGAAAGAATGGTACCACTGGATCATGACTCTGAAGAATTCAAACTTATACATAATTATGTAAAGAACACGCAAGGTTCTACTCATCACATTAAATTAGAAATTCTTGACGTGTTTGATATTGAGCGCCAAGGTGAAAGGGAGAGATACAAGCCATACTCAAAACTTCATAATAGAATGTTATTATGGCATGGTTCTAGACGTACAAATTATGTAGGCATTCTAAGTCAGGGGTTGAGAATTGCACCACCACATGTTCCTGTCAGTGGATACATGTTTGGAAAGGGTGTTTATTTTGCTGATTGTGTATCTAAATCTGCAAATTATTGTCGCTCACATGATAATATTGGATTTCTGTTATTATGTGAAGTTGCATGTGGTGATATGTTGGAACTTGTAAATAGTGATTATAACGCTGATGAAAAAGTTAAAAAGCAAGGTAAACATTGTACTAAAGGCCTGGGCCAAATCGTTCCTGATCCCAAAGGTGCTGTTTATTTAGAAAACGGAACTATGGTTCCCTGTGGAAAAGGATTATCTTCATTAGATACTGATAAATGTTTGTACTATAACGAGTATATTGTATATGATGTAAGCCAGATTTTCCAAAAATATTTGCTCAGGGTCAAGTTTGACAATCAAGGTTTTTATTAACTACTGCGCCGTATGAAAGTCTTATTTTCAGTATTGGTATTTGGACTAATTGATGATAAATTTGGTCAATATATAGATGCAGTAACTTTTAATTATAGTACGTATTTAGCATATTCAAAAAACATGGGCATAGTTCAAATACCAACATACTCATTTTCTGTACACGGCACAGTAATTATAGATTATGCTTTTAATAAATATGGTTCAAAAACACGGAACTTATGCAATATAAACTTATATATTTTAATATGCTACAAATATAAGTATTGAATTATAGTAAAAATATATAAGTTTCAAGTTTTATATTATTTTTTATTTATAAACTTTAAGTTTTACAACTATAAATCAAAAGCAGTATGTTAAAGTTCTTTAATGCATATTTAAAATTTTGTAAAAGTTATAAAGTTTTGTATATAAATTTTTAAAAAAATTTAAATAATGTATTTATGCATTTAGTATATTTTTTGTTGTACAGTACTAAATAGTAAAACATGACCAAATGTTTATTAATAAAACTTTAAAATATTATAACTTTTTTAAAACAAGTTAAATCAAAAAACATTGACAAATTGATAAATTTTTAGATAAATTATAATATTTTGTTATAGAACAAATTATTATTATCATTATTTTATTATTATTTTATAAATGTATTATTATAGTTATTATTATTTAGTAAAAGTTATTTTTATTATTGTATTATTATTAGTAATTACTTAGTTGCTTAGTTACTGTTACAGGGTTGTAGCCTTCTTGGTACAATACAACCAAGTAACAAGGTTACCTAGTATAGTAATTGACTATTGCAAATATATATGAAGTGGAGGTATAGTAATTTACTTTGTTATACAGTAGCAGACAAACAGTTCAAGATAGTAACAGTATATAGATTAACTTTATTAAATAAATACATAGTAACAATTTTGCCTGTAGAAATTATTCTAAAGAGATAATATCATTTTTACAAGTTAGAGATAAAGATAAAAAGGTCTAGTTCAAAGTATAAGAATTTAGAATTGGCAGAGAAGAGAGAAAGGTACCTTTTATATATCTTTTTACCTAGTTAGGATAGTAAGGATTCAAGCAACATTACTTGATACTATACTTAGAATAATAGGGGTTTAAACAATATTAAATATCATTATATTTAAGATAGTGAAAGTTCAAACAAGATTAAATAATACTGTGCTTGAAGTAGTAGAAACTGTATAGAGACATCTGAAAATATTGTTTATATTATTTGTTATTTGTGTTTGAAATATTTAGAACTTGTGTTTAGATACTTGGATTTATACAAAGACACTTGGGATTTGTGCAAAATACTTGAGATTTATACAAAGATATTTGGGATTTGTGTTAAGGATATTTAAGATTTTTGTGTTGCAGTATTTGGTATAGTAATTTGAAGTTAAAATATATGAAACTTGTATAGGGATACTTAGGATTTGTAAAATAATAGTAATATTATAAATATTACTCAATATCATATAGCTGTACTATATTTCTAATAACTAATTAAGATCCTTTTATCTATCTACTATATAATATAACTATTAACTAACTAATGACTAATAAGAGATGTAATGATCTAGTAAAGTAGATAGATTGTCAACTCCCAAGTGGCAGGTTTAGAGTTCAAATCTCAGTAATAGTAAAAATTTGTAATTCTTTCTGTATTACAGCTAACTGTCTTCTGTGATTGGTTAGGATAAGATACCTGTAACCTGTATTATACCAATATAACTAAAAGATCTAGGCACTTATACAATATTATATAAGAGAACACAAATCAGTACTAAGTAGTGTGAACTCAAGATAAGTTTTTAGGTCATGTAAATTACAGAAACCAGATAAGAAGATAGAAGCCTACTTGGAAGACCTAAATAAAGAAGTAACCCAAACCTTTGATGATGTTATTTTTTTTATTTTTTTTTTAACTTTAGCAGTCACGCTAGTACTTTATTAGGATTCTTGAAACTATACAGATTATATAGAATTTTCCTGATATATAAGTCTAGCATTACCCGGCCACTCAAATGGTACCTAAGTATGACCTGCTGCACTATCCCAGTTAGAGATAGACTGCTCGTCTGACTGCCACCCTACAATAGGACATCGCCAATCTGATGACATCTTTTCGTAGAGAAGCAAAAAACAAAAAAAAAATTTTTTATGTAAAAAACAAAACAGAGGTATAGGGGTAAACGATAAAAGATACAAATCAAGAAATAAAAGAGAAAAGGGAATAAACGAGAAAAAAGGAAATATGTGAAACTTGCAATTCACA